GTACACCATCTATAGTTTTTCCTACTTACTATAGGCATCAACTCTTTGTAATATTTGCATATGTAACCCAAGTATATAAGGGCTACATTGTACCTGTAAACTTCACTTTTCGTTTTATGCAAAACCCTAATTTCTCTTTCTCTCTCTAGCCGCTCTACTGTTTTCTCTCTATGTATCAGATTATGAACATTATCAGCGGCTAAGAGAATTTTAATCACTTTATATGGAAATATAATCATGCACAAACACATGCTCTGGTACCACATGTAAGAAATTTAGCGGGCATATTCATAACTATTAGACGGAATTGAATAAACTGATCTAAGCATGTAACTCTATTAATTCATAGAACATGAATCTTTGCATAAATTAAATTGCACAGAGAAACTTACAAGAATCCATCATATAGTCCTTCCCTGTTTTCTTGATCTATGATGTTGAAACGATCCCCTTCTCCAATGATGGATCCTCTTCCTTCAATCTCCATAATGAATTTTGTCTTCGGCTAGTCTTTTCATAAAGTCCTTGATGTTGTGAACTTTATTTCGTATGAGATGGGAGAGAGGAGAGAGGGGCATGTAGTATACATAGGAGAGGAGACCTAGAATCCTAATACTACTACCAATTCCTAATTCTAACCTAACTTACTGTCCAAGTCAAACATCACAAATTAGACTCTTTAATATTAGAACATTAAAAAATCCATTACATATATATTCACCTTTAATAAAGTTTGACTATTAATTCATTTAGGTACAATTAATTATATGGTCCACAATAATAGAATAATATATAAAATATTATTACATTAAGTTCCGAATTGAGAAAAAAAATCTTTGAGGCCCCGCATTGATAGTTTACCCATCTTTTGGGTCTTGTATTGATAAAACTACTATTAAATATGATTGAATGGATCGATATCTAATTATTAGGTTATAAATAGTACATTAAAATAATTTAGATTTGTGATATTAAAATATGAAATAATTGAGGTTATGCAATTTTGGGGCGAAACTTAATTAAGAGGAAAAAACTCCATATGCTCAAAACCCTTGTCTCGATCCACAACAATATTAGATATTTTCTATTTTAGATAGGATATTTTCTCTAATCAATCTGAATAAAAAACTATTTTTCTTCAATAAAAATTTTACAGTATAATTAATTAATTAATTATAAAATTAAAAATACGAAAAACCGTTTTTTCTTGGACTCCAAGCATATATCGCCCCTATATAAAGCCCTCTAAACTCTAAACCACCTTTCAGCACACCAACTCGCTGGCAACTACTCGCCGTAAAAATCAAACCCTACCGTACTCCTCGCTTTCCTCCATGGCGCCACCGGCCCCAATTTCTCTCGTTGGACCACCGGAAATCTACCGGGCAACCCTCGCCCCCTCCGCCACCGCCACCGCTCCCACAACCGCCGCCGCGAGATCGTACGATGATGTCCTGGTAGCTAACTTGAACGGCGTGGCGGTCGGACGAAATCAAAACCCTCCTATGGGCCTGACGGAGAATTTCTCACCGACCTTCCTCTCGACGGGGAACCCCTGCCTTGATTTCTTCTTCCACGTCGTCCCTGACACGCCGCCGGAGACCCTAACCGAGCGCCTGAAGCTCGCGTGGGAGCAGGACCCGCTGAAAGCCCTGAAGCTCGTCTGCAACCTCCGTGGGGTGCGGGGCACCGGAAAATCAGACAGAGAAGGCGGGTACACGGCCGCGCTCTGGCTGCACAAGAACCACCCCAAAACCCTAGCCCGCAACATCGACTCATTGGCGAGTTTCGGCTACTTCAAGGACCTGCTCGAGATTCTCTTCCGGGTTCTCGAAGGCCCCGACGCCCGGAAGCAGGCCAAGGAGGCGTATGAGCAGTTGAAACAGAGGAAACAGATGAAGGAGACGAATAAATTGAACAGGAAAGAGAAGAAGAAAAAGTATGGCGGCGGCAGAGTGAAGAGGAGAAAAATATCGAAGAAAGAGAAAATTGAGCCAATCGAGCCAACCTTGAGCCGAGAGGAGAAGAGAATCCTTCATGCCAAAAGGGTCATCGAGAGGTTTAACAGAGACCCCGACTTCAAATTCCTGCACAACTGCGTATCGGACTGTTTCGCACGGTTCCTGAGATCGGACATGGAGATGCTGAACTCGGGGCATCTCAACAAAATCAGCCTGGCTGCGAAATGGTGCCCTTCTATCGACTCCTCCTATGATCGTCTCACGCTTCTGTGTGAGACAATCTCGAAAAAGATTTTCCCGAGAGTCGAGTATCCGGAGTACGAAGAAGTGGAGGAGGCCCACTACGCTTATCGAGTGAGGGACCGGTTAAGGAAGGAAGTGCTCGTCCCTCTTCGTAAAGCCCTGGAGCTTCCGGAGGTTTACATTGGAACCAACGATTGGGGTTCCCTCCCTTACAACAGGGTGGCCTCGGTTGCCATGAAAACGTACACGCGCTTATTCTTCAAACACGACAAGTCGAGGTTTCGGGAGTATCTGGACAAGGTAGAGAGAGGTGAAGCCAAGATTGCAGCTGGTGCATTGCTTCCGCACGAGATAATTTCCAGCCTGGATGATGGCGGCCAGGTGGCGGAGCTTCAGTGGAGGAGGATGGTTGATGACATGGCGAAGATTGGGAAGCTGAATAATTGTTTGGCAATCTGTGATGTGTCGGGGAGCATGGACGGGATTCCAATGGAGGTATCAGTGGCTCTCGGGCTTTTGGTGTCAGAATTGAGTGAGGAGCCTTGGAAAGGGAAAGTGATTAGTTTCAGCAAACGTCCCAAGCTTCAGACAGTCAAGGGTTCCAGCCTGAAGAAGAAGACTCGGTTTGTGAGGCATATGGAATGTGGCATGAACACGAACTTCCAGAAGGTGTTCGACTTGCTGCTTAAGGTGGCGGTGGACGGGAAACTGAAGCCCGATCAGATGATCAAGAGGGTGTTTGTTTTCAGTGACATGGAATTTGACCAGGCGTCTATGAACCCGTGGGAGACTGATTATGAGGCCATTGTGAGGAAGTTTAGGGAGAAGGGTTATGGGGAATGTGTTCCGGAGATTGTGTTTTGGAACTTGAGGGACTCACGGGCCACGCCGGTGCCGGCAAACCAGTCGGGGGTGGCACTTGTGAGCGGGTTTTCGAAGAATCTGATGAAGTTGTTTTTAGAGGGAGGTGGGATTATAGATCCTGTTGAGGTCATGGAGGCTGCCATTGCAGGGGAGGAGTATCAGAAGCTTGTGGTGGTAGACTGATTCAATAGGTCGAAAAAATTTGCTTTTGAAAAAAATTTCAGTTTTATTTCTACTTTTCTGCTGCTTCTTGATTGGAACCTTACAGAAGTTGGTCTCAGAGTGACACAATAATGCAATGTTTTTATGATTTTAAAGACAATTTGTTCCACAAAATCCCAGAAAATGAAGCAGAAAAAGCTACAAAATGCTTCTTATTAGTTATTACTAATTGTGACAAAAAGGTTTACTCATCCCAACATTTATTTTCAAGTTCAAACCAAATCAAATCAAATCAAAAGCAAACCAAAAAAAGACATTTTCCAAATGCTGCACTCAACAGCAGCTCAAAATCATCACAACCATTATTATTATTATTATTATTATTATTATTATTATTATTATTATTATTATTATTATTATTATTATTATTATTATTATTATTATTATTATCATCATCATCATCATCATCATCATCATCATCATCATCATCATCATCATCTGGCAGCAGCTTGTAAACCAGAACAACTCAACCGCTCGAACTACCCGACCCTTCGCCTTCCAACTGTTTCTCCCGATTCCCGATCTTTCTAAGCATCTCGGAAGCAAACGACGCCAAACCTTGCAATTCATGGAAATCGAGCTCGTCCATTTTTTTTTCGCCCGTCGTCACTTGGGCCAGCAAATGTTGGGCCTACCTCATTTGGAGCCTCTCCCTGGCCTCGTCCACTTTACGAGCCTCGGCCGCCACAAGTTGCTCAAGAAAGTCTACGTGCGTGGTCATCTCCTCCGCCCTTTGCGGTTCCGGAAAGTTCAAGAACTTTTGGAGACTCCCGGTGAAAATCTCTGGTGAAAGGCCACATCACGGCATTGTCCTCCCCTTCCTTGTGGACAAAAATTCCCATCTCGACCCCACAGAGGGTCGAGAGGTCGTTTGCTTCCTTCAAGAGTTCGTCCACTTTCTTGTCGAAAGTGGCCTCCCTTTGAGACTCGTCGGCTATTTTCTCGTGCATAATCGAGTTTCTATCCATATAGGCCGTTTTGCAAAAAAATATTTAGTGTCGTTTATTTTTTTGCGGATGTTGTTCGAGTTCTTGTGCCGAGCGTGTAGTTATTATATAGATTGGGTGCGAGTGGTTTCTTATGGTAAAATTGGGTGTCTCCACGAACGCGGTTAAAGAATTCGATGCGGGTTGGATAATCGACATTGAATTTTTCACGTGAGATTGTTCTTTTACGGTTAATTGTTCGGAAGATCGGCCAAACATAAGCGCTACGAGCACGTATACTATAAATGGCGACTTATGGTTGCTCGTAGTCGATTTCCAAAAAGATTTATGAAATATATACATGTTCTTATGCTGTGAATTTGTCCTGAAAAAATGAATTTTGTATGAGAGTGCTGAATTAATAATATTGAATTTGGTGTATTTGGTTTTTATTTTATTTTATTTATATATAAAAAAAAGAGTATATATTTGAAAGTGAAGATATCTTGAACCTTATTACATACTTGTGTGTGTTCAAATTCATGAATCAGTTACATTATATTCTGGTAAATGAATAGATTCTGACATACTATTTCAATATATTATTAAAATTGGGAAAAATATTTGTATACGTGACTGTGAGATGCACGAGACTTTTATTATTTCCGTCCATCTTAAAAAGCATTTTTGAATTAAAATTTAAATTATAAAATAAAGGAAAGATCATGCAATTACTAATTACTCAATATAATGAAAATAAAATCTGTATATTATTGAACACTTCATTACCAAATGATGTACCTCCTACAAAAATCTCGAACCTTGGGAGCTTCAACACCGATGATAGGGTCACATCCTTTGATGTGGTTATTTGAACCTCACCTAATTAAAAAGTATATTAGGTTAGCCGGATCAAAACAAAAAAAAAAAAATGTTGAGTTATTTATTGAGTTTAATTATAGAAAAATGAATAAAATACCTCCTCACTCATTCGCACGGTACATTTGCATGATGAGGACAAAATGTTCCTCTTGATTTTGGTAATGTTCAAAAACAATCAACTGGTCAACTTATTAGCCTCAAAACGTGGAGTTTTTCATGTTTTCCCTACACAATGTTGAAAAAAAAATTAAAAGGCATTTCATATGTTAAAAAACATTCAAAAAAGTAATTATATATACTGATAGATGAACAATATGAATATATAATGTTAAGGACTTTGGCCCTGTTTGAAAGATAGCGGATTGAAGATAAAATAGCGGATTGAACTTAATTGAGAGGTTTGACCCGTCAAATCCGCTATTGAGCTTGTTTGGTAAATAGCTTATTTGATTAGCTTTTTGGGCCCAAAACTCTAATTTAGAAAAAGCTCATTAGAGCAGCTTTTTGGGATAGAGGATTCACAAAAATAATTTATTTGGAACTTTTTTTTTGTATTATTTATTTTACAATCTATATTGGTTTATGATGCTAATAAATAATAATATGTCTTCCATATGATTAATTTATCTAAAAAAAATGTAAAATTTATAACTTCTTCATCAAGTGTTAGTAAATTTAAAATATATATATATATATATATATATATATATATTTATAAATTACCAACTAAATAATATCAAATGTTTTAATATATTATTATTAAAATAATACATCTTAAATAATAAAATATCATTATTGGTCATTTTGCAATGTCAAACAGTTATTTAAAAATCGCTAATGCAATCCACTGGTCAAATCAGCTAATATAATCCGCTATCCGCTATCCGCTGATAAAATCCGCTATCCGCTGAAAAAATCCGCTATCCGCTAATCGCCAAACAAGGCCTTTGACTCTAAGTCCATAAGAAAAAAGACGATCATTTGGGTAGGAACTCCTTTAATAATCTTCATTTGAAAAGTTGTATAGAAACAACCAATTCAACCATTTACATAAATATAAGACAACTAATCATATTAAATTGTCATAGTAGATTTTATTATTTTGAATGAAATATATAAAATTTTGAAATAAAAATAAACAAAGATTTAGAACGTACAAAACAATATAGATTCGTCCTTCCACTTGTGAAACTTGGTTTGACAGTTAATAATGATCCACCAAGTGCAAGTTGTTGATTTGTATATGCCAATATTATTTTTCGCTTAGTAGTTTTGAAAGATATAAACACCACTTTCTTCAACTTCGTCGATGAATTGTGGAACATTGACGGGTCACATTATACCAATAATTTCATCATTCCTAAAAAAGTACATATTCCTTAATTAAATAAAAAAATAATAAAAAAATGTAGCATAAAATGCATATAAATAATGATATAATGACAAATTACCTCAGAATCGTGAAATAAAATCTTAAGAACGTTTCGATAATTGCGCTTATCTTCAATGCGTTGGAACATTATAATGATGCGTAGCTTGATCATTGGCCTATTAGTTCTTTTATATCTTTGATTTCTCTGAAAACCAAAGTCATTTTGAATGGGGATGAAAAACTGATTCAAAAGTTTACTTTGTGGGATGCATTATTTCCTGTCGATGTTTGGCTCAATGATCACACCAATGTGGTGTTTATATAGTAATTGTGCATGTTTCCATCTACTATAAATTCAAATTTAAAAATAAAAATATATACAAAAAAATTAAAATAGAATTTGCAGATATATAGTAATGTAATCAAAGGTAGACTTTAAATTGATTTAATTTTAATTTTCTAACTAATTAATGTTTGACACAAAGTTTACAGCTATTTTTTTGTTAAAATAAAAAAAAGGATAGAAATTTGGATTGATTTGAATTCTCATAAAATCTGTCAATTTTATTTTTCAAAACCTAAAAATATGTCATTTTTTAGAGATTCACAGATTTTGTTATCTATACTTATATTAAAAGCCATACTATTTACCAAAAGTCAACTCACATTTAATGCATATTTTATTTAGAAACTTTTTACTATATGCATTAATTGCTTGCATATATACATTTCTTAATCAAATATGATCAAAAAGATTCTTTTCTTACATAATTTTATTAACTTCTGCAATGATTTTACTGATATATATTATAATTCATATTTGTCGATAGTATTTTTTAATTTTTATTTGAGTATATAAAAAACAAATATTTTTTAAAATTAATATTTTATTTATCATTTAAGAGATAATAATCACATCAATAAATGATATTACTGATGGCTAGATAATAAATTAAAATACATTAATTATTCTTTATAATTTTGGCATGTTATTTATTTGTATCTATACTTATTATATAAGGTATCCTATTTACCAAATTTGGTAGATTGAAAAGGCAACGTAATTAATGCATTGCTATTTCTATCCAGAATTTTATTTAATTATTTTATTTATTTGTCTTATATCCCATAAAATCAGTTTAAGAAAAAAAAAATCCCATAACATCTGACAAGTAAAAAAAAAGACGTAAAATCTTTACTAAAATAAAAAAGACTTTATTTATTTGTCTTATTCCATATTAACATCGATTTTTTCAAAATAAATCCCATAAAATCAGTGAAGTCAAAATTTGTACGTAAAGTCTATCTATCAAAAAAAAAAGTCAGATTCAAAATTTCTTATCTAATTCCTTCTTTTTCTTATCTAATTCATTCTTTTCCTTATCTAATTTCTTTTTATTATCTAATTGTATGAAAATCTGTTCTGATTTTGTTCAATCCTCTAAGTGTATTTGTATTATATTCCATAAAATCGGTTTAACAAAAAAAAATCTCATAACATCCGATTAAAAAAAAACAAAGTACGTAAAATCTTTACCAAAATAAAAAGGTTTTATCTATTATTTAATTTATTATCTAATTGTATGAAAATTTGTTCTGATTTTATGGTACGTACTACAAATTGTGCACCCGTGTTCAGGAGCTACTTAACGGGCAAGCTATGTGGAAATTAATTTAGTGCTTCTGTCCCGTGCATACGGTATGTATTTTTATTACACATACTAGAAAATTGTGCACCCCGTGCATCGCACGGGCTCTGTACTAATAAATGACCTTAAAATTATACACCTCGTGCATCACCCGTGTTCACATTTTGGCCTATTACAGGTCACGTACTATATATATCTCGTACATTTTTTTTATTCATTTATATCAATATAAGAATGGATAAATGACCTTAAAATTGTGCACCCCGTGCATCGCACGGGCTCTGTACTAGTGAAATAGAAATGGGATCATTTTATGAAAAATAATTATTAGCAAATATTTTTTTTCATGTGTCAAGAGTTTCTTAAAAGAGTTTTACTGAGAGTATATCACTATTACTTGAAAAAAATCTTAGCATATATGCAACAAATTTACATCCCAAAATTATTTCATTAAAAAAATAAAAAAGATGACCAAATCTGATATGATTTGCATTCGAATTTTAATTTTACTTGAATTTGTTTTTCTAAATAATTGGATTAGGATTGACATCAAACAAAAATTTATCCGTTTTTTTTTAAAAAAAAAAAACATATGAAATGTATTGTATATTGTGTTTAAAATATATAAAACTTTAATATAAAAGATATTAAATAATTAATTGAAAAAGGGTATAAAATCGGCTTGAGGATATCCTGTAAGAAATATGGAATTGCATGTTATTTAATAGATTTGATAAACTAATAAAAAAATATGGGATAAATTGGTTTTTACATATAAAATTATTTTCTTCAAAAAGAAAATAAGATAGCAAATTCAACTTAATATGCACAAATTATGTATGAGATATCAATTGATTTGAATTTAATTTACCAGAATTATTTGATTTGTGTACTAAAAAATGTACTGATAAATTTTTTAATGTGTATCACACTAAACCTCACATTTTTTAAATTCTGATGCTTTCCATTTTAATGAGATATTTATTGATTTGAGTTTTGAAAACCTAAAAATCTTTAAGTTTAAAGAGATTCACATGGATTTAGGTAGAAAATAATAAGAGGTTCAATTTGGTTACCAAATAAAACAGCTTGGTAATATACAATCTAAATAACTAGTTTTT